TAGTGACCCCACGTGGAGTGTCTGAGACTGGGGTCAGCGGGGCGGCTGGTGGATCCGAACCAGCAACCGTGCAGTTAGCAGCTCGACACCAAACCCACAGCAACACCCAGACTCCTTCATCTGCAGGGTCCTACACAATAAAATCGACGGCCCCCTCCCTGCCCTGGGCTCCCCCACACTGGACATCCCTGCTAGGTAACACGCCTGCGGCGCTCTGTGCAGGAAGAGCTGGCTCCTCTAGGGTTGGCCCCAGGGGATGAGCCATGGAATGGGCACTTGCCTCTAGATCTGGCGCCCAGTGGTGTGGGCAGGCGCTCACCTTGCCCTCCACTGGTGGCCAAGAAGAGGGTGAGCCCCTTGCCCACCGCAGCAGTGCTCGCAGGACTCCCCCCAGCAGCTGCTGCTCCTGAAGCCCCAGAGGGCCCTGCAGTCCCCACACGGCTCCCTCTCTACTCTGCCTGTACTTGGCAGCCAGCCCCACCCCCGTCCCCAACACTGTCTGCATTCCACAAGCCGTTTAAACCATTGAGTGCAGCAGCTGCCTAGGCCACGTGTTTGGACAATTCGACCATCCACTTATGAACCTTTACGTAATTGAGGCTTTAGCACCAGAGTGTTTAGTGCGTCCTTCTGTAACTGCGGGGGAGTTTCCAGCAGCCCTGTCGTCACAGAGGCCCGGTGGTGGGACTTGGCTCTAGGAGGGCAGGAGAGGGCTGGAAGGGAGTGTGGCCTTAGGCTCTCATCCCGGCTGCAGGTCAACAGCTGAGTGCGCTACCGATCTGGGCCCCGAAACCCCATAGATGGTGTTCTGGCTCCAAAGCTGGGATTTTGTAAATGACGAGCACTTTCATTGCACCACGCAGCTAGACGCCTCCCTTTGGTGTCCATCCGTAGGTCCCTTTCCCACCTTCACTCACCTTGACTCTTGTGGCTTGATTGAGACACTCCACCGAGAGGTCTTCCCCCTCTCCCTTCATCCTCCCTTCCAGAAAAACATGTGAGCCCTGGTCCTCTGAGGGTGGAGGGAAGTGGCAAGTGAGAGTCAGTGCAGCTGGACACCTATGAGCCCGCAAACGCAGATTCCCCAACCTGCCTGGGGATAGGATGGGGCTGTGGGTGATTGTATCTTTGGTGGCTTGTCAGAGCAGCAGTTCCCAGCAGTTCTTGCCCGTGGCCTCTGTCCGACACCAGCCTGCTGCTGTCCCTTGAGTTGGAGCATACATGGCATGAAGCCCGGGGCTCTGAGGTGGTTTTTCATAGATTCCGCAGCCCTGGTAGGTTAGTAGTTCAGTTCTTGGCTGAACGCGTCAGACACTGTGGAGGATGTGGTAGTCTGCTCCCACAAGATTAGGGTCTTAGAATCCTATGGGGCCAGGCTACTCTGACCTGCATCCACTATGAGTCCATTCTTCCTCCCTCCCTCCCTTGTTTTTTTTCTTTCAGAAGGCTGTGCAATCAGCACTGCTATTTAACTCACCTCATACTCACTAGCTGTCACCCTGATTCCTTCTCGGTACCTAACCCCTCGGCAACCACTAACTTACATTCTGTCTCTATGGATTTGCATAGTCTGGACATGTAATAGAAATGTATTCTATTATAGTAATACAACTATAAGTGTATTATAGTATATGGTCTTTTATAATTGGCTTCTTTTGCTTAGCATAGTGTTTCATTGTTCATCTACATTGTACCATATATTGGCCCTGCAGTTGTTTCTCTGGCTGAATACTATTTTACTGTGTGGGCCTGCGACATTGTATTTTATCCATTCGTCAGTCGGCGGGCACTTTGGCGTTTCCATGTGGCGTCTATAACATGCGGTGCTGCTATGGACATTCCTGGACAGGGTTTTCTGTGGATCTCTATTTTCAGTTCTCTTGAATATAAGCCAAGGAATAGGATTGCTGGATCACGTGATAACTAAATTTTTATCTTATTTTTCTCTTGAGGACACTGTTTTGGAAGCATCTTTATTGCTTAAACTTTTGAATGAGCTAAAGCAAAGGGGCGACTGACTGAGGCAAGAGGTGATCTGCTACCTAGAGCCAAGCGAGAGTGTGGGGCTCTTTGCTGAGCAATCAGTCCACAACCTCCCGTTGCAAACCCAGCCTCCAGGCCCACGCCCACGCCCACGCCCACCTCCCCACCTCTGCTGCCAGGTGCTGCTCCTCCTCTCTGACTCTCTCTCCTCTGCTGGCCTTGCTCTTTGCAGCTCTCTGCATCGCACACCCTGCCAGGGCCTGGCTAGAGAGGCCCCAGTGGGCCAGTCGGCACCAGAAAAGCCTGCCTTTGACGCAGAGTTCACCTCCCACTGTCTTTTCCGATGCATCTCACTGGTGACCTCGAAATGTTTTGAGCCGAAGCATCGTGTCATTTCAGAGTCTCAGAGGAAAGACATGCTCTTTCAGGCAGGTGTTCTGCTCAATGATGTCCACTTCCTCAGGAGTGACTGGGGGTCCCAATGAGGAGGGCGCACGCCGGCTGAGTGAATGTGGACATTGTTCCCTAGTCTCGCTGAAGTTCGGGTTCTTCATCTTTCCAATGCATTTTGAGTGACCTACCTGAGCACATAATCGGAGCAGCTGGACTGCATGGGGAAGCGTGCAGCGTCCAGGGTGGAGGAGGACTAGTTGACCACCTGTGATAAGTAGCTGCCCACCTACGTGGACATGAGGAGGATGGGAAATGTTCAAGATCGGAGGCATAAAG